GAAACCATTTAAAAAGGTTATTAATCAGCAAAATCTCCTCTATAACATATTAAAAGTCTTAAGAGTGGTGGAAAGTAGTTTTCTAATGTGTTTCTTAACCACACCCAATACCACTTTTTTGCTACTTTATAATGGAATATTTAGTGATGCTGCAACAATATATTTAATACTAAACACAGAGAGTTGATCTTGTTTTATTATTGAGATGCCCATTGACTTCAGAAAAGATCTGTAGATGATTTATATTCATTTATTATGCTGTAATATCTGCAATCAATCACTAATTTTTTACGGCCGTAAAGTGTTATGTTACTTCGGAGGTGGGTGCAAGGTGAATTATGCAAATCGTAATTCCTTTTTCCTTTGTTGCATACCAATTCCGTTACTTTGAAGGACCACAAGGAGAACTTCGATAACAAACCATCATGTCGACTAATCAGCACAACCAAATCATAGATAGGACATATAAGTAAAGTGATCCTCGACAGAATCGTCTGTAAAGTCATAAGCGCGACGGGATTCAACCTGTGGAAAAGCACGGACGCCGTACTGGACTGGTAAAAGGAAATCCCAAACAAGCAAGAGTCGAGCTTCATAAATTTCGACATTGTGGAGTTCTACCCTTCAATAACGGAAAAGCTTCTCCTGAAGGCCCTAGGGTTCGCGGAAAACTACGAGAACATTAGCAGCAAGGAGACAGATATCATCATCCACACGAAACAGACAGTGGTATTCAACGACCAGGTACCGTGGAAAAAGCGTAATGCAGACAGCAAATTCGATGTCACGATGGGCAGTATCGACGGCGCGGAGTCATGCGAGCTGGTCGTAGCATATATGCTGTCGATCCTGAAACCAAAGTACGGAAATAGAGTGGGACTATACAGGGACGACGGTCTGGCAGTATTCAAAGAGACCCCCAAGAAAATAGAAAACATCAAGAAGGAAATATGGCAAGTATTCCGGGAAAATGACTTAAAGGTAACGATCGAAGCCAACAAGGCAACAGTAAACTTCCTTGACATCACATTAGACCTGCGAACGGGAGGCTACAAGCCATACATGAAACCAGGTAATGTACCTCTCTATGTACATGTCCAGTCAAACCATCCACCCGCCGTCATCAAACAGATACCAGAGGGAATCAACAAGCGACTCTCCAAAATCTCATCGACCAAAGAGGCATTCGAGAAAGCTGCCCCGGCCTACCAAGAGGCTCTGCAAAAAAGCGGGCACAAGTATCGGTTGACATACACACCGAGCAATAACACAAGGAAAAGGACTAGAAAAAGGGAGGTGACATGGTACAACCCGCCATACAACAAGAACGTACGTACCAACATTGGAAAGAAATTCCTTCAGATAATAGACAAATGCTTCCCCAGGGAACATAAGCTTCACAAAGTGCTCAACCGGAACACAGTAAAGTTATCGTACAGCTGCATGCCGAACATGAAGGCAACGATCCAGTCAATCAACAAACAGAAGGTAAAACAAGACGACGACGTCGGTGGTAGAACATGCAGTTGCCCCCGCAATGCCGAATGCCCGCTGAACGGGGAGTGCCTCAGCAAGAACATCGTGTACCAGGCCACCGTCACGAGCGAAGACAGGAAGGAGGCATACGTCGGGCTGACATCCATAACCTTCAAGGCGAGACTGGCGAACCACAGGCAGTCATTCAGATCCGAGAGCAAGAGGGCGCAAACAGAGCTAAGTAAACATATATGGGACTTAAAGGACGAGGGGAAAGACTATGAAATCAAATGGGACATTGTTCTGAAAGCACTGCCATACTCTAACGTAAACAAGAGATGCAATGTGTGTATAGCAGAGAAGTACATAATCATATGTAGGCCAGCCAGATCTAGGTACACTGAATAAGAGAAGCGAAATCGTCTCCAAGTGCAGGCATCGAGACAGGTGTGTTCTTACTTCAGCGACGTAAACGCGTACTAACTTCAATGACGTAACGCGCGTAACGCGTGCGCGCGCTTGATTCGAAATAAGGTAAGATGCTACTTGTCTTCTATTTTTCGTCATTCTGCTGATAAGTGCCTTATGGTACGAAACAGTCTGTCCAGAAGAGAGATATGCCAAAGTTTGTTTAACTCATATTCTGATTTTATTGCATGTTTATAGCTCTACAGAGATGTATCGAGCACTGTGAATTGTGAAAGAAGACGATTTCATTGGATATGAATCTATATATATATATATGTATACAATTAAATGTCAAAATAGCGCGTTTACATCACTTTTAAAATTACATGGCAAGTTGTGTGACTATCTAATTAGACTAATCGATGTTAGCACTGATGAACATCAACTTAAACATAATCAAATTACTTAACATATATATGTCACTTCCAATTATTACAAGTGAAATGTTACTTTAACAGTGACGAAGACACAGTAAAGCCCGTAATTGGTATGCAACAAAGGAAAAAGGAATTACGATTTGCATAATTCATCTAGCACCCACCTCCGAAGTTACATAACACTTTACGGCCGTAAAAAAATTAGTGATTGATAAATCAATTCAGAAAATAAAAGGAATAATTTTAACAGTCTTGTGACACCCTGTACATAAACACATTTCAGGGACAAAAAATCACTAGTACACTGCATAGGGATATCACATTTTGCAACACATACGTGTATGCCAACTTTGAGATGAGCCAAAAACCGAACAAAAAAATATTGTTCCCAATTGTTTGATATTTTGAAGCGAACATCTTGGGGTTTAATTTTCATCCAAGTTTGTCTCAATGTCGGATGATCCACTAGGTCAAATTCAAGGTCAAATTAAAGGTCAAAATGTCATTATACTTCAAATAACCCCGACATGAAAAAACAATGGTAAATTTGTATTTCTCATGATGTAACCTTTCAAAAGAAATTAAGATTAACAAATTTGGCTCAAAGATTATAGAAATATGGTCATTTAAAAATGGCAGCAATGTCCATTTTAACCAAAATTGCCTGGGCGGTAGCACGAAAACTGTTTGTCCGATGGTGCTAAAACTTAAAATTTCGGCTTTTCAGCCGAAATTACCCCATAAACTAAATATGATCCAATATGAAGAGGTTAGGGTTTCAAATTTAAAAGTTTTGGGGGTGATTTGACACTGAGTGACCCCAATGTCAAATGACAACATGTTGTTTGAAGTACCCCGAAAAGCAACTTAGGACGAGAGTTATTACTAGATAGCATATTATGTCGTATTTTTGGCCACTGCATTTTTCTTTGCTAGACTTTACCTTCCTAAGCTGGAAATCCATTGGTAACATTTTTTCTATCTACCATGTGGCAGTCATTTTGGAATTCAAATTGGCCGCCATTTCGGGCCTAATTTGTATCTAACTTCGGACCTGATTGTCATATGAAGTTCACTTTGGTGGCAAACCCCATGTTTTTGATACCAAGGAACCCAAGAAAATCATTGTTGATGGGGTATACTCCCAGTGGAGTACCCCATCAACAATGATTAACTTGGGTTCCTTGGTATCAAGAACGTATGCAGTTTGCCACCAAAATGGACTTCATACGACATTCAGGTGCCACCTTATTATTTAAATGAAATCCAAGACGGCCGCTATTTTTGAATATCCAATATGGCTGCCATCCATTTGGGATGCCTAAATGTGCTACTTGCATTCCTTGGTATCAAATTTATGGGGTTTGCCACCAAAAGTGACTTCATACGACATTCAAGTCCAAATTTAATATACAAATAGTTCAGAATGGCGGCAATTATGAAATATCCAAGATGGCTGCCATCAACTGTAAGTACCCCGTCCACAGTGATTTACTTGAGTTCATTCAAATACATGGACTTCATAGGACATTCAGGTGCAATGTTATTATAAATGAAATCCAGGATGGCGGCTATTTTGAAAAAAAATCCAAGATGGCTGCCATCCATCTGGGACAGATCATCAGCAATGGGTCATTAAAATTAATTGGTATCAAATGTATGGGGTTTGCCACCGACATTGAATTCGTACGCCATTCGAGTCCAAATTTATTATGCAAATAAGCCGAAAATGGCGGCCATATATTTGAAATATCCAAGATGGCTGCCAGCCATTTGGAGTACACCATAAAAAATAATGTACTCAGGTTCCTTGGTATCAAAAACATGGGGTTGCCATCAAAATAAACTTCATGTGACAATCAAGTCCGAAGTTATGATACAAATTAGGCTCGAAATGGCGGCCATTTTGAAATCCAAGATGGCCGCCACATGGTAGCTGGGAAAAAATGTCTCCAATGCATTTCCAGCTTAGGGAGGTAAACTCTTTCCAAATATGGCAAAAATTCCTTCTTAAACAAAAACAAGAAAAAGTACATAACGGCCTATATACTATTATGGCCAAATCATATGAAAATCATGTAAATAGCGGCCTTTTGAATTTATGCAAATTAGGCATATTTCCACCACTTGGATTTTTAACAACTTTTAGGGACCTTATAGCAATGCACTGTGGTGTGAAATTTGACTTGGATTATCAGGGAAAATTCAATTGGTACATGTCCACAAATAGCATCCATTATTTTAACTTTAATGAGGCAAATTGATATACGGCATTTATGCAAATTATACGGCATTTGGAAAATTTCGGAAACATAGGGATCTTGGAATTTACCTAGGACTAGAATAATGAGTAAATCAATGTAAAAGGACTAAAACTGTTGTTTAAAGTACCTCAGAAATCCACCTAGTATGAAAAATATGACCCAATCAATGCGAAAGTCCTAACATATGCAGCCATTTTGGATTTATGCAAATTAGGCATATTTCCACCACCTTGATTTTTTAAGACTTTTAGTATGTCATTTTAGGGACCTTATAGAAATGCACTACACATGGTGAAAAAATTCTGCTGCAATTTGTTTTGAGGTCAAACCTTATATTGCCTGTACTATAAAGAAAAACAATACATTTACAAGTGATTTGATATAAAAAAAGATTATATTTACCTGGTCTACCGTAGACATTTACGGTAACTGGTTGTGATGCATTAATGTTTTGGGAGAAGGTACCACTGCCTATGTTTGTGGTTCCAGTTCCTAGCGGGGTATCTACAACCACAAGCACGAAATAAAATCTCCTTAAAGATGGGCTGAAAAATGATGCAGCTCAAGACCACCATGCGACCAGACACAAGACCAATTGCAGATCAAGCACAAGACCAGCCACAAGTAACAGGGCACAAATAATGACAAAGGAATGTGTTTGTCGCAGTTCACTTTGAATAGCCTGTGACTTGAATTGAGGCAGGAGGTCTTGTGATGGTCGTTTAAGGTCTTGACTTAACTTCAACACTGGGTCAGTCATGAAAACAAAATAATAACTTGATCTCTTCAATGCGATACCGTTTTTGACGGATAATTTCTCAAGGAATTTGCTATTAATAAGCCTCTGTACTGATGACATTTAATAAGCGCTTTTCTATAGGGCTTCGAAACCGCCGTCCCCACCAGGCTCCCATAAGAAAGCACACATGTAAACAAAGCGTGAGTTTCTTAACTCTACAGGTAATTTTGAACGTTTTGAAGGACTTGGTATTAGAAAACAATTATAATAATGAAAAGAAAAAAACTGTAGATAAGGCATGTTTTGTCTTAGTTTTCTATCCGCCTGGAACAATCCCTTACAGAAATGTCCCTTGAGCATCCCATGGGATTCCCAAAATGGACCAAAAACGAACTCCCTAAGTTTCCCATCAAAATACCAAATTTTAATTTCCAAAAACAGGCAAACAAAATAAAATGATATACTTCACAAACATTTTTTTGTAACAATTCTGAAGCTGTCAATAAAGGCAAGATATGTGCAGTAATGTTATAGTCACGTGGTATGTCATGTGGTATATAGCGCGCTACATTTCATGGGAAACAAGGGGAGTCTATTTTGGTCATTCACAGGTGCGGAAAGGAGGCCAGTGCCCCGTTCGACATTCAACGTTGAGTAAGTAGCCAGTTACTTATTCACACTACTTTTATATGAACCTGCTAGACTGCGTTAGGCAAGGATAGATTTCAGGTAAGACTTTCATGGCAGACGGTCAGAGCTTATTGCGCACTTCCAATTGTTTTTAATTATTAGGCAAAATGACCCAATCACCTTAATACGCCAATTACTTTAGACGATTTCACAAATACCATCAGACTATACATGTATGTCAAGCAATTGTGTGTAAGGGGCCATTCAGAATGTTCAGTGTTTTAAAATTTCGACTTTTTTTCCAAATTAGTTTGACCCACCCACCCAACCTCTAATTTCGATTAATAAAAAACTGAACATGTACATGTACATGCACTTGCATGTACATATACTTGAACATGAACATGTATACCCATGTACATGTGTGTGTCTAGTTCAGTGACGGCGTGAAGTTGTCGGTCTTCCTCTTTTGCACTGGTGACCTTCAGTTTTCGTGTGTTTTGCCAGCTGATATGCTGTTGGGAATGACAGGTTGCAGTTTTTTTTGGAAGCCACAAAGATGACCGTGGTTTAGTCGTTTTCTGGATGAGGTGGATGACATGTGACATACGAGGTTGTGCCTGTCACGCGAGGTAGCTGAGAAAAACATTCACTCGTACCCCCCTCCCCCCTGTTTGCAGGGCGGGGGGTACGAGCGAAAGAAAAACATCAGGTTTGGGCAGACATCACATCACAGGCTGCGGTCCTCGTAGTCTTGGAGTCCAGTGGTTGAATAGTCCAGTTTTTATAGCGATTGGTAATCGACGCCCGCGGCATGTTATAGAGCCGATCAAGTACACCTGGTACCCTGCTGCCTCTGCACGGCCTAACCGCTACAAACGCCCTGCGTCCAAGTCTACTGAAAAACCACCTCCCTCTCTTGCCACAGTGGGTCTAACAGTCCTGAATCCTCCAATTTCAATATGATTTTGCACACCCCCTAGGGAGTTAGGCCTATACACGTACATGACGTACATGTACAGTTTATGCAGGGGACGAAGTTGGAAAAAAAACACGCATCGCGATATCGGAACGCTTGCGCGTAGTTCAGGCAAGTCAAGAGATCTATCTTTCTTTGTTTTTTTAAATCTTTTTTCCATGGTAAGTGAATTTCGATTTTCAATTATTTAGCTTGACCCACCCACCCACAATTTGGAAAAAAGATCGAAATTTTAAAACATTGAAAATTCTGAATGGCCCCTAACTTACCTCTGATTCCGGAGGGAGGATCGGTAGCACCGTGATCCTGTCCGTCACTTTCTGTATGCAGAGATGAAGACAATACATAGTATTTACTCGAAAAGACTATGTCACTCATAATTATAGGAAACCAAATTAATGAGAAATCCAAATGGTCTCATTTTTAAAATGAAGAAAATTGAAGTCATTTTATCAGCAAAGTTCAATCATGAAAGGACAGAACATTAAGTCGATGCATCTAACTTGTATGATGCGCAATCACATCATGTTAGTTTTGACAGCAGTGGCGTAGCCACCGGTGGGCGGGGGGCCCCCCATGAAACCTTGTCCCCCCCCCCCCAGTCCCCCCCCCCCCCCCCCCCCACTGAGATTTTTAGTTTTTAAAAAAATTATCAGTGATCTAAATCTAAATAGTTGCGAATGATCCACATGATGACCACTGAGAAACGACCCTTCGACCGGCGACCGCGGACCAGTGAGCTGACAACCGGCGTGACATAGCGCATAACGATAATCTAAAATGCATATTAACACCCACTGCTTTGTACAGTGTTTTTCTATTTTCAATGACACACATGGGAGGTCAATAAAGAGAAAATCAGCTGATCCGAAAAAAAGTTGCATGCCTGAAAACAATGTTCAAAATTTTTTCGTATGCCTTTAACTGAGAAAACTTCGAAAATTACGTCTAAATTATTATCTTTTGTGCTAAGATAATTATTGGTTAAAGTGGTAAGAAATTGCCTCAGATCACACCACAGAGCATCGAGAATCCATTTTTTCGGGGCCCTTAAGCGGGCCCCGAACCCCACGCCTATAGCTCAGAATACCGATGGCTGATTCAATGACTCTAACCTCGAAAACGATGTTCAAATAATTATCTTTTGCTAAGAAAATATTAGTTAAAGCATGGAGGAAAGTGGTAAGAAATTGCTTCAGATCACACCACAGATCATCTAGAATCCAATTTTTTTCGGGGCCCGTAAGCGAACCCCCACGCCGTAAGGGCTTCGCGCTTCGCGCTCGCATCAGTTCTGATCAAGGTATGTCCCCCCCCCCCCTCCCACTTTTTAGAAGCGATTGACGCCCCTACATGACGCCCCCCCCCCCCATGAAATGTTCCAGCGCCCCCCCCCCCCCCCTGAAAAATTCCTGGCTACGCCACTGTTTGACAGACACGGAAGAAACAACAAAAGAAAGGCTTACCTGCAGGCTCCGAGGGTATAGGCTGAAAGGCTTGAGGTGATGACTGAGAACCTTGAGCATTTCCTAGAAACAGATGTGAACATTAGAAGGTGTAAACATTTCAAACGGGTGATATAATTCATCCATCAATATTGCTTTGATTCATTCATTCAATATTGTACATTGCCTATTTTAATGTTAACAGTTCGGGTCAAGCAATAGAATTGCTAAAACAAATCTTAGATTGGGTGCAAGTCAACCAGATAAACCTTTTAAATCAGTGGTTCGTTTACAATTGAAGAAAAGAGGGAAAACATAATGCACATAATTATGTTTGGGTCTTGCAACTGCGCTCTGTTGATACGACCCAGTGTTGTAGTCGAGTGCATACATTGGAAAAATAGAGAGGTTTAGATAGATGTCCCCTTCCCTTTCTTGTATTGTGTACCCCTGATAAACATTTCCCTATTCCCAGTATAAATGACCCCAACAATGTATAGTCCCATTTGATAAGACCCTCATGTCCATTTATTTCCAAAAAGCAATAAAGCCATTTGGAAAGCTGGTAAAAATGTCTTTAAAAAAATGTTGAAGCTCAAAATGGTAAATCACAGCACAACAGCTGTTTCTTGCTTTATTGTGTTCTTAAACTTTGTATCGAACCAGGTACAATATACACTGAGCAGCCAGGAGGAGGGGGATTGTAAAAAAAAAAAAAAAAAAAAATGTTGTTTATCACATTTTGTAAATACTCTCTTCATGTGCTTTGCACCCTGTAAGTCAACAGACACCTCAGTTAACAGACCAGCGGTAGAGAAGAGAGCACTGCATTTTGAGTTTCCTCTCTTTCCCATTGTTTTTGGGTGTGCGCTGCCCTGTGCATATATTTTCTGCTACATGTACTAAGGCCAAAAAAAAAGTCTCCGGTTTCTGGTATGGAGCTTGCCCAAAAAGTGGTGCGGCGACGCGGCTTTTTTTTTTCCCCCCCTGACTTTTTTGCTTCAAATGTCGGCTGATGACTTCAAATGGTGCCCGACTAAACTTAGTGCAAATATTTGGGAGTCCAGAGAGGACACATAAATCTTATTCTCGATCATAACCCCATTAACATCTAAAAACACGTTACAATTGTGCAGCAGCAGGATTCCAGTCAAACCAGTGAGTTTGGCGGTTTTGAGACATCATCTTTCATTGAAAAAAAACTTTTTCATTTTGCCGACGCGCATGGCTACGGCAACGCGCGCGCATACCAGAAACCGGAGACTTTTTTTTTTGGCCTAAGTTATTGATTTTCTGTCAAAGTGTCTTGGAAGATTCATTTTACACACTGTGCTGGCTTTAGAGCTGTTTGTTTTTTATTGTTGATTTTAGGTTTTGTCTTGGGTTTCGAGTTCTTTATAATTATTTTGAGTTTAAGTTGAACTATGGTTTTGATCTTCATTGTTTTTGGTTCTGTCCTGGTCTTGGGGCTTCAATGCGATACCGTTTTTGACGGAATAATTTCTCAAGAAATTTGCTACTAATAAGCCTCTGTACTGATGACATCACACTTTGTTTACTTAACCGCTTTTCTATAGGGCTACGAAATCGTCGTACCCACCAGGCTCTCATAAAAAAGCACACATGTACACAAAGCGTGAGTTTCTTCGCTCTACAGGTAATTTCGAACGTTTAAGGATCGTTTTAGAAAAAAAAGTTATAATGAAATGAGAAAAACTGTATCATAAGACATGTTTTGTCTTATTTTTCTATCCGCCTGGAACAATCCCTTTCAGAAATGTCCCATGAGCATCTAGTGGGATTCCCATGGGGTCCCATGGAAACCCATGGAGTCATCAAGAACCGTGTAAGTTAAAATGATCACCATGGGAGATTTTATGCTCATCACGGGAAACCCATGGGAACACCATGGAGATTGCATGGACAACATGGAAACACCATTGGGATTTTATGAGCTCCATGGGAGCACCATGGGGATTGTATGGAAACCATGGGAACACCATGTGGAATTGATGAACACCATGGGAACACCATGGGGATCATATGGACACAATGGGAACACCGCGGGGATTATTTCACCATGGGAACACCATGGAGATTTACTGGACACCATGGGAACATCATGGCTGTTTTAGACACATGGGTACACCATGAGGATTCGGACGCCGTGGGAACACCATAATGTGGGTGATACAAATTATGGACACAATGGGAACACCACGGAGATTTAAAAGGCAGCACGGCCACGGGGACACTGCCGGGTTATACTGGAGAACATGCATATGGGAACCATGATAGACCCAATTGCAAGTTATAGGCAACCTTTTCTTTGATTTAATTACTTATTCGCCTATAAATTTGAATTCAATTAAAAATATTTCCCTGATGGTCATAAAGGTTATCAAGAATTCCATTTTTATGCTGACCATGGGAAACTCCTGTGGATTTTCAACAATTGAACACAATGGGATAAACACCATGGGAACACCATGGAACATTTTATGATAAGTGAAGTCAAATGAAGCATACAGTATTTTTTGGAAAATGTGTCATTCAAAAACCTTTGGATAATATTGATTCATTTGTTATTATGTTTGAAAATGTTCATGAGAAAATAAATTGGGTACACTCTGATGATATGGTACGTACAACTTGACATAGGAGTAATAATGTGTTGACATGGAGTCAGTGGTTCTGTGGTTCCGAAGAGGTCTAAGATCTACGAGGACAAGTTAGGCGATACTTCACCACTGTTTAATGTGTTATTCTCAAAAATTTGGGAGGCTAATCATCCTTACTCGCAGCTGGCATGCTGAATTGCGAAGGACGCGGCTACAACGCGGTCGGGTCACTGGCACGTAAAGGCGCCTATGGCTGCCGGCCACATCGACCCATATGACTACGGAGCACAGCCTGAGATCGAAAGTGTTTGATTTTTCCGGGAGGAAAACCGGAGGGCCCGGAGGAAAACCGGAGGGGCCGGAGGAAAACCCTCGTGGCACAGGAGAGAACCAACGCACAACTCTACTCACTTGCGATCCGCGGCCGGGATTCGAACCGTGGTCACCTTGGTGAGAGGCGAGCGCTTTATGCACAAGCCACCCATACCACCAGATAATTGGTCTATTTAAATAAAATGGCAGTTTAGAACGTTCTGGTGCGCACATGTCGGCCGTTCGACATAATGAGTCGGACATAATCGGCCGTCGGATAGAATCGCCAGACCGTCGGACATAATGGTCGGACATAGGTCTTAGTGGCATATGGTGAAATTGGCAATGACAATAAAGCCTAAATTAAGAAATCACCTTCATTTACAGAGAAACTGTCAAAAACCAGTTTGTCCACATGCAACTCTAGAAACTTGGTCAAATGAACAACAGCACTGCGTGCACAAAGAACTGCCATAAGGACGACCACATGTATACACCAGTGTTGTAGGTCTCGAGGCCGGTCTCGGTCTCTGTCTCGGTCTCGAGACCACTTTTTGCTGGTCTCGGTCTCGGTCTCGGGAACTGTGGTCTCGATCTTGGTCTTGGTCTCGGTCTCGGTCCCCTTTGGTCTTGATATTTTGGCTGGTCTCAAGTCGAGACCAGCCAAAATGTCGACATTTGAGTCGCGCACATAAATCAAAGCCAGTACCAATTTATGCAATAACGGCCAACCATTTTCGGGGATTGTATAGTTTATTAGCCCACCCCTGTGGGCGTTAAGTATTTTCTTATTTTTTAAATAAATGAGGTGCTCAAAAGTAGTAACATTTTCGACCCCAATCTTCTCTTTAATTTAGGATAGTATCTTGGAGAAAGAGTACATTTTTCTACCTGATTTTCCAGCAATGAATTCACACACTCTTACCAATTACCACTCACTGTTGCCAGAGTGCATGATGAGACTCCATTTTCCGGTTGCTCATTTGAAGGAAGTACCCAATTATTCCTCAAAAAGCAAAATACCAGTCAGAAAAAAAAATCCATTTCTGGCTACCATCTCTCAACTTTTGGGTCTACATGTACAAGTCTATATTCCATGACGGAAATTTTTAAAAATAAATCAATATTTTCTTGCTCCAATTTGTTTGAAATCAGGTTTACTAGGAGGCCCAATGTAAAATTAAAGTTGCATTTAAATAACTGTTAGTAGTCATAGCTGAAACTCAGGGGTGGCTGTGGAGTTTAGCGTCCGAGTTCCTATAACAGAATGAAACATCCACCTTTAGCATTTTACTTTTGTCAAGTTTCAACATTGCAAAAAGTTAGTAAAAATTGTCGTACTCCTAAGTTAGAGTTTCTTCATCAGATTTACACTTTATAGTAGTTAAAAATTAATTTAAAAAACCATATTTTTAAAAAAGTGGCAACGATATATGAAATTAGGTTTTGCTCTTCTTTAAATTAGGTTGTTTCCAATTTTTTTAATTGATTGTGACAATAACAAATTCTGTTACCATGTTGTAATTTATGGTGTGAAGCAAACATGAAGAGCACTCGCATGACACAAGCAGGTACAAGTGATTCCTAGCTTTCAATTCCTTTCTTCACATCCCCATCAACATCATTCATCTCAAGGACAGACTGTTCAGCCGTAATTAGTGTCTTGTTTTCATTTAGATTAATGTTATTTATTATCCTCGGTCTCGGTCTCGGTCTCGGACCATTTCGGTTTCGGTCTCGGTCCGCCTTGAAGGGGCTGGTCTCGGTCTTGGTCTCGGTCCGCCTTGAAGGGGTTGGTCTGGGTCTCGGTCTCGGTCTCGAAACTTCAGGTCTCGGTCTTGGTCTCGGGCGGACTATCCGGTCTCGACTACAACACTGGTATACACGCGTGTAGACAAACTGGTTTTTGAAAATGGCCGTGATCATTTCTTAATGTAGGCCATATTTTCAATGCCATTTTCATCATATGCCACTAAGAAATCTGCGTCTGGAAAAGTGTACACTTTAAGTGGCTATACCTTGAACATGTATAACAGACACCAAGTAAAGATGTGAAACACCGTTTTTAAGCTCTGGCTGGAGGTTCTACAAGTCACTTTGGTGTCGGGCGGTCGGTCGGTATGTTGGTCCCAAAAAATTGACCAAAAACGAACCCCCCTAAGTTTCCCATCAAATACCAAATTTTAATTTTCAAAAAAAAATCAAACAAAATCAAATGAAATACTTCACAAACATCGTATGTAACAATTCGTGAAGATCTTTGTGAAAGTTTTGTCAATGGAGGCAAGATATATGTGCAGTAATGTTATAGTCACGTGGTATGTCACGTGGAATATAGCGCGCTACATTTCATGGGAAACAAGGGGAGTCTATTTTGGTCATTCACAGGTGCGGAAAGGAGGCCAGTGCCCCGTTCGACATTCAACGTTGAGCAAGTAGCCAGTTACTTATTCACACTACTTGTATATGAACATGCTAGACCGCGTTAGGCAAGGATAGATTTCAGGTAAGACTTTCATGGCAGACGGTCAGAGCTTATTGCGCACTTCCAATTGTTTTTAATTATAAGGCAAAATGACCCAATCACCTTAATACGCCAATTACTTTAGACGATTTCACAAATACCATCAGACTATACATGTATATCAAGCAATTGTGTGGAACTTACCTCTGATTCCGGAGGGAGGATCGGTAGCACCGTGATCCTGTCCGTCAATTTCTGTATGCAGAGATGAAGACAATACATCCTGTAGTATTTACTCGAAAAGATTATGTCACTCATTATAGGAAACCAAATTAATAAGAAAACCAAATGGTCTCATTTTTAAAATGAAGAAAATTGAAGTCATTTTATCAGCAAAGTTCATTCATGATAGGACAGAACATTTAGTCGTTGCATCTATCTTGTATGATGCGCAATCACATCATGTTAGTTTTGACAGACACGGAAGAAACAACAGAAGAAAGGCTTACCTACAGGCTCCAATGGTATAGGCTGATAGCCTTGACGTGATGACAGAGAACCTTGAGCATTTCCTATAGAAACAGATGTGAACATTTATGTGAACATTCAGATGGGTGATATTTCATCCATCAATATTGCTTTGATTCATTCATTCAATATTGTACATCGGCTATATCAATGTTAACAGCACGGTTGAAGCAATACACTTGCTAAACAGAAATATCTTAGGTTGGGTGCAAAACCTCCCGGTACTAGATAAGCTTGTTAAAATCAGTCAAGTGGCTCGTTTACAATTGGAGAAAAGAGGGAAACATAATACACATAATAATGTTTGAGTTTTGCAACTGCGCTCTCTTGATACGGCCCAGTGTTGTCGTCAAGACTGTTTACATGGGGGTAGTTCCCCTTGGAAAAATCATGAGCTTTAAGGCCTTTTCACACTATGAACGTTCGATCTGTGTCGAAATCTACACGGTTCTAACCCGGCCCGTGTTTACTTTTTAAAATTTCAACACAGTTCAATTCCGCTCCGTTTTCACACTACTCAACACAGCGCCGGCATTTTTGCTACACGTGTAAATGTTTGGACCCGTGTATTGCGCGATCGTTTCACACACTACACACGGCTGCGATTCCAGACACGTCAACATGTCTCCGCACATCGCTCCGAAGTTTTTGATATTTTTAACGCTTCTTTCATAAAAAAAAATGAAGTTTCAGCTAGTTACAATCGCTTATTCTCACTACAAGGTCCTAACTGGTTGGATTTTCCTGGAGTTTTGATCCCTGTATTTCGTATTTTTTGCCACTGGAATTTTCTACAATGTGACTGTGAGTGACGCACTTGGGTGAGTTGGACTCCCGCTGCAGCTGGCGTGTACTGACAAACATGAGATTGAAAATTCTAAACGTCAACAAGTTATGATCACTTATTCACTGCGAGGGTTTCATGGTTTGGGTTTTGCTGGAGTTTTGTCTGTGTTAGAGTTTTGTCTGTGTTTCATATATTTGTTGATGGAATTTTTCTACAATTTTTCTACAATGTAACTGTCACGCACTTAACTTGGGACCTGTGTTGGGTGAGTTTGATCCAAGATGGCGGACTCGCACTCCCGCCGCAGCAAGTTTTGGGTACTGACAATTCTAAACATCTCCCACATGATTTTTGCTACATGTATGATATTGCTGATGCAAGTTCTCCTCGTGCTTAGCGGGGATATCCATGAAAACCCCGGCCCAGTGAAATATCCTTGTGGCTTATGTGAAAAACCGGTTGCTACAAAAACAACAGAGGCCTAGAGTGTGATAGCTGTGTACAGTGGTACCACATTAAATGTGGAGGTATTTTTGGTAAGCAGTATAGTGAGTTCCTGGGTAAAGAGCAAGGATTTACTTGGATTTGTCCACAATGTGCAATGCCGAAGTTCAGTAGCAGCTTCTTTGAAGATCTGTTAGTGCATTCATCAGATAACTCATTTAGCATTATCTCTGACTCTGACTGCGATAGTCTGCCAGATAATGATGATGCTCCAAAAACTTTCCACCCAGAAGGTCTGCCTGCTGTATGACGGAAACAAAAATAGATCTCATGCTACACGTAAACAGCCAAGACGCAAACTTAAATTGATGACATTGAACTGTGATGGTTTGAAAAGTAAGAGGAAACAGACAGAACTGGCTGCTTTGATTGATCTGGAACAACCAGACATAGTGATGGGCACTGAATCTCATCTTGATGCCACCATCAAAAATGCTGAAGTGTTCCCCGATACATTTAAAGCCCAGCGTAGAGATAGGAACATGCACGGAGGCGGTGTCTTCATCGCCTATAAAGATGACATTGTCACCAGTGAAGTGAACGTGGGGACAGATTGTGAGCTGACCATGATCAATGTCAAAACCAGTAGGGCACCACCAGTTTCCATTGGTAGCTACTACAGGCCTCCAGGAAATGACCCTAGTGATACCAAAATTTGCAAAGGAATCTTGAGATGCTGTTTGATGGCAAGACTGTTCCCAGAGTTATCCTTATGGGTGACTTTAATCTCCCATCAACTGATTGGAATACCATGGCAGTGCATCCATCACCACAGTATGGCAAGTAAGTAAATGAGAGTATGGTCAACCTTGTCAGCAATTTCTACCTAGATCAACTCGTCCTTGAAGCCACAAGGAAGGGAAATGTGCTCGACCTGATCCTAACCAACGCTCTTGACAGCCTACAAAAATAATGTAAATGTCGTTCCCGGTATGAGTGACCATGAGGCCGTGACTGCCGACTGCAACATAACTATACAAATAAACAGGAAGAAACCCAGAACTGTTTATTTACACAACAATTAAGGCAGACAACGAAGGGCTCAAAGAAGATCTTGCATCTTTTGCCACTGACTTTAGTACAACATGGGAATCACGTACTGCATCTTCAAATTGGACCCATTTCAAGCTGCAGATAACAAGCATCATGGACAAGAATGTGCCAACTAACTGTCTGAAAGGCAGATGGGATCTACCATGGATGACACCAGAAATAAAACGCCTAATGAGACGCAGAAAACGGAGATACGCAACATACAAGAAATTCAAGACACAGAAGAACTGGACCAAGTACACAACACTTCATACACAAATCAAGCAGAAGCTCAATGAGTCACACACCAACTACATCAATGGCATGTTTGAGAATGAGGAGAGTGCTCCAAAAGACTGTGGAAGTATGTCAAATCACTGAAGAGGGATGGAATGGGTATCTTTTCCTTGGTTTCAGGAAACTGAGTTGTGACCTCACCTAAAGACAAAGCTGAAGTAGGGTTCCAGCCCCTTTCCGGTCATGCCTGACATTACAATCACTACTACGGGAGTTCAGAAGCTGCTTACCTCGCTTAATCCTAAGAAAGCTACCAGTCCAGATCAAATACCACTAAGATATTGAAAGACCATGCTTCTATCTTAGCACCTGTCCTACGGATTGTATACCAGCAGTCACTTGATACAGGTGACATACCAGATGACTGGAAACAGGCCAATGTAACAGCAGTCTTCAAGAAGGGTGATAGAAGCCAGCCGTCAAATTGCAGACCTGTCTCCTTAACCAGTATTGCATGTAAAGTACTGGAGCATATCATCGCTAGTAACATCAGAGCTCATCTTGACCACCATCACATATTAAATGACTTCCAACATGGATTTCGTAAACATCACAGTTGTGAAACCCAACTACTAACGACCTTGGACGACCTAACTGGTGCCATTGATCAGAAACAACAGATCGACTGCCTTATCCTAGACTTCTCCAAAGCATTTGATGTTCTGGCCCATGGGAGACTTCTATATAAGTTGGGATGGTATGGCATCAATGGTCCTACCAATAAATGGATTGGAAGCTGGCTGACAAATCGTACTCAAGCTGTAGTTGTGGACGGTGAGAGATCTTGCCAAGTGCTCCTTGCTCCGCATCACCAAGCGACGCAACAGAATCAACTCAACCTATGACATGTTAGGAACTGATCTGCACCAGGTTGAAAACCACCCTTATCTTGGTGTGGAATTCACCTCAAACTTAGATTGGGGCCTACATGTAAACAACATCACTGGTAAAGCTCAGAAATCCCTCAACTTCCTGCAACGAAACCTGTCAAAGTGCCCACAAAAAAAACACAAAAAAAACAAGCATACTTCTCCATAGTCAGACCAATCTTGGAATATTTAAACACAACTTGGGATCCCCATCATCAGAAGCACATTTCAACCCTCGAAGCAGTCCAGAGAAAGGCAGCCCGTTTTGTTACAGGGAACCATCAGCGTACGGCTAGCGTTACTCAAATGCTTCAAGAGTTGAATTGGCCATCACTTCAAGATAGAAGAACTGCAGCTCGTCTCACAATGCTCTACAAGATCAACAAAGGGAAAACCCCGCTAACAGTCCCAGACAAATTCATCCCAGTCAACCCCATGCACAATCCCAACAGACCAGTAACCAGAAGCCATCGACCACATCAATTCATCAACTTCCCAGCCAGAACAGAGATCTACAAAAACAGTTTCTACCCCGGACCATCAGTCAATGGAATCTTCTACCATCCATCATCATCACTTAATCTACTTCTGCTAAGTCATTCAACACCAATATATGGAGCTACATGAACGACCACAAGGCACAGTTGTACATGGGCAGGCCAGCTGGACGTTCCATCGTCTCAAGCAACTAGTCCCCAAGTTGTTCCAGTCACTGTATATATGCACACTTCTTTTTGTTGTTAAATTTTGCACTCTTAGTTGTGATGTGCAAGGAGATGCTGACATGTCCTTGGAGGTCTGGACGAAGATACCAGCTGGTCCTGTCCAGTATCCACTTAGATGTAGATGTAGACGGCCACCGTCCGACACGCAATCAGCGTTGTCCGCGTATTCCTAGCAGTCTTTTCAGTCTTTTTATTCTATTTCTATGCACGCAATCAGCGTTGTGCGTAGCCAAAGCATGGTGAGGAGTAGATGGTGTTGCATATGCATCGGTGAATGCAGGTGCGTGCCGCGAGGGGGGGGGGGTGTGCCGATGGCAGATAGATCAAGTAGGAATTGCTAACTTTTGCACCACATATGCACATGTTCTGCAATACATGCACACACATGTACGTGAAATGCGCGTGTTGTACAATGTACGTACATTGTGTGCGCATTGTGTGGCACTGAAGCAGAACGCGCGCGCTGAAGTGTACCTTGTCGGGCATCTGGAAAGAAGTAAACTAAGTGATTTTTGCTACATTTTTTAAGATACCGACAGCCAGGAGGGGCGGGATTCTAAAAAGTAACAAAATGGCGTTCATCGCGTTTTGGAAATAAACTCTTCATGTGCTTTGTGCCCTGTAAGTCCACTTGACACGTCAGTTAACAGACCAGCGGTAGAGAAGAGAGAACTGCATTTTGAGTTTCCTTTCCAATAGTTCTTGGGTGTGCGCTCCCCTTTGCATACTTTCTGCAAGTATTTATAGTGAGTAGAGTCTTTTATTTTGTTCCTTTATGTACCCACCCCCAAATAACGAAAACAAACTGAAAACAAAGGCTGAGTCGCACATTAAGTTGGCATCTGCATGAATGAATTGAATAATGGGCTGATAATCGAATATTCATGGATTATACGTGAGCTTTCGGGCAAGGTTGGTTTTTTTTGGGGGGGGGTAGACATTGTGATTAACTTAAGCTAATCCTGACCTAATCCTAAGTCAGAATTTAAGGAACGATACAGATTTGACTTATTTGGCAAAAAGTGATTAACACAAGAACATAATTACTATTATCGTAGTCAGTCTTATAAGAGTAATGATGTCCAATACATTTGTGTACACCTGCAGGCTATTTATTCCGTTTTAGAAACAGTGAATGCAACCTGCAAAAAAAACCACGACACACTATGGGAAAAATCCAATAAACTCGGGATAGTTGAAGGGAAAGACGCTAAGAATTGAAATAAAAGAGAAAATAGACACCAAGTTCTCAGCTTTAAACAAAAAAGGACCACCCCAATCTATTCACGAAAACTTCACGGCTAAAAAGAAAATGGCCAAGACCAGGACTGAACCAAGAACAATGCAAATCAAAATCAAAGTTCAAACTTCAACTTAAAATAATTATGAAGAACTCTAAACCCAGGACAAAGCCTAAAACCAACAATAAAAAAAAGAAAAATCTAAATCCAGCACAGTGTGTAAAATGAATCTTCCACGACACTTTGACAGAAAATCAATGATTTAGCGGCTACCATAGTGTCCACCATTATATCAAACTAGCTTATAGTTGTACTAACGAAAATTAGTGACACTAGCTCGCGAAACTGACAATCCATCTTTTGTGTCCATGTTTATGTAGCATACCACTAATAGTACAGGCACTATGTGAAAAATTAAGGGGTAACCTCAAACAAATTGCAACAGAAACCATTTAAAAAGGTTATTACTCAGAAAAAATCTCCTCTATAACATATTAAAAGTCTTAAGAAATCCGAGTGGTGGAAAGTAGTTTTCTAATGTGTTTCTTAACCACACCCAATACCACTTTTTTGCTACTTTAAAATGGAATATTTAGTGATGCTGCAACAATATATTTAATACTAAACACAGAGAGTTGATCTTGTTTTATTATTAAGATGTCCATTGACTTCAGAACAGATCTGTAGATGATTTATATTCATTTATTTTGCTGTAATATATATATACTATCTGCAATATGATATATATATATATATGAATCTATATATCCAATGAAATCGTCTTCTATCCAATTCACAGTGCTCGATACATCTCTATAGAGCTATAAACATGCAATAAATTCAGAATATGAGTTAAACAAACTTTGGCATATCTCTCTTCTGGACAGACTCTTTCGTACCATAAGGCACTCATCAGCAGAATATGGCTGCCATCCATTTGGGATGCCTATTGTGCTACTTGCATTCCTTGGTCTCAAATTTATGGGGTTTGCCACCAAAAGTGACTTCATACGACATTCAAGTCCAAATTTAATATACAAATAGTTTAGAATGGCGGCAATTATGAAATATCCAAGATGGCTGCCATCAACCCCGTCCAGAGTGATTTACTTGAGTTCATTCAAATACATGGACTACAAAGGACATTCAGGTGTAATGTTATTATAAATGAAATCCAGGATGGCGGCTATTTTGAAAAAAAATCCAAGATGGCTGCCATCCATCTGGGACATCAGCAATGGGTCATTAAGATTACTTGGAATCAAATGTATATGGTTTGCCACCGAAATTGACTTCGCACGCCATTCGAGTCCAAATTTATTATGCTAATAAGCCGAAAATGGCGGCCATTTATTTGAAATATCCAAGATGGCTGCCAGCCATTTGGAGTACACCATAAACAATAATGTACTCAGGTTCCTTGGTATCAAAAACATGGGGTTGCCATCAAAATAAACTTCATGGACAATCAAGTCCGAAGTTATGATACAAATTGACTCAAAATGGCGGCCATTTTGAAATCCAAGATGGCCGCCACATGGTAGCTGGGAAAAAATGTCTGCTTAGGGAGGTAAACTCTTTCCAAATATGACAAAAATTCCTTCTTAAACAAAAACAAGCAAAAGTTCATAACGGCTAGGCCTATATACTATTATGGCCAAATCATATGAAAATCATGTAATTAGCGGCCTTTTGAATTTATGCAAATTAGGCATATTTCCACCACTTGGATTTTTAACAACTTTTTTAGGGACCTTATAGCAATGCACTGCGGTGTGAAATTTGACTTGGATTATCAGGGAAAATTCAATTGATACATGTCCACAAATAGCATCCATTATTTTAACTTTAATTAGGCAAATTGATATATACGGCATTTATGCAAATTATACGGCATTTGGAAAATTTCGGAAACATAGGGATCTTGGAATTTACCTAGGACTAGAATAATGAGTAAATCAATGTAAAAGGACTAAAACTGTTGTTTAAAGTACCTCAGAAATCCACCTAGTATGAAAAATATGACCAAATCAATGCGAAAGTCCTAACATATGCAGCCATTTTGGATTTATGCAAATTAGGCATATTTCCACCACCTTGATTTTTTAGGACTTTCAATATGTCAATTTAGGGACCTTATAGAAATGCACTGTGGGGAAAAAATTATGTTGCAATTTGTTTGAGGTCAAACCTTATATTGCCTGTACTATAAAGAAAAACAATACATTTACAAGTGATTTGATATAAAAAAGATTATATTTACCTGGTCTACCGTAGACATTTACGGTAACTGGTTGTGATGCATTAATGTTTTGGGAGAAGGTACCGCTGCCTATGTTTGTGGTTCCAGTTCCTAGCGGGGTATCTACAATTACAAGCACGAAATAAAATCTCCTTAAAGACAGTCTGAAAAATGATGCAGCTCAAGACCACCATGCGACCAGACACAAGACCAATTGCAGATCAAGCACAAGACCAGCCACAAGACCAGCCACAAGTAACAGGGCACAAATAATGACAAAGGAATGTGTTTGTCGCAGTTCACTTTGAATAGCCTGTGACTTGAATTGAGGCAGGAGGTCTTGTGATGGTCTTTTAAGGTCTTGACTTAACTTCAACACTGGGTCAGTCATGAAAACAAAATAATAATGTGATCTCTTCAATGCGATACCGTTTTTGACGAATAATTTCTCAAGGAATTTGCTATTAATAAACCTCTGTACTGATGACATTAAGCGCGTTTCTATAAGGGCTACGAAACCACCCTCCCCACCAGGCTCCCATAAGAAAGCACACATGTAAACAAAGCGTGAGTTTCTTCACTCTACAGGTAATTTTGAACGTTTTGAAGGAATTGGTATTAGAAAAAAATTATAATGAAATGAAAAAAACTGTAGATAAGGCATGTTTTGTCTTATTTTTCTATCCGCCTGGAACAATCCCTTACAGAAATGTCCCTTGAGCATCCCATGGGATTCCCAAAATGGACCAAAAACGAACTCCCTAAGTT